GTGCTGGGGGAGGCATGCACGTGTGTTGTGTGTTGTGTGTGCTGGGGGAGGCATGCACGTGTGTTGTGTGTTGTGTGCTGGGGGAGGCATGCACGTGTGTTGTGTGTTGTGTGTTGTGTGTGCTGGGGGAGGCATGCACATGTGTTGTGTGTTGTGTGTTGTGTGAACTGGGGGAGGCATGCACGTGTGTTGTGTGTTGTGTGTTGTGTGTGCTGTGGACGTGTGTTGTGTGTTGTGTGTGGTGTGGTGTGGGGGGGGGGGGGGGGTGGTGTGTTGTGTGTGCTGGGGGAGGCATGCACATGTGTTGTGTGTTGTGTGTTGTGTGAACTGGGGGAGGCATGCACGTGTGTTGTGTGTTGTGTGTTGTGTGTGCTGGGGGAGGCATGCACATGTGTTGTGTGTTGTGTGTTGTGTGAACTGGGGGAGGCATGCACGTGTGTTGTGTGTTGTGTGTTGTGTGTGCTGGGGGAGGCATGCATGTGTGTTTTGTGTTGTGTGTTGTGTGTGTTGGGGAGACATGCACATGTGTTGTGTGTTGTGGGTACTGGGGGAGGCATGCACAGTGTTGTGTGCTGTGTGCTGGGGGAGACATGCACGTGTGTTGTGTGTTGTGTGTTGTGTGTGCTGGGGGAGGCATGCATGTGTGTTTTGTGTTGTGTGTGGTGTGTATTGGGGAGACATGCACATGTGTTGTGTGTTGTGTGTACTGGGGGAGGCATGCACACGTGTTGTGTGCTGTGTGCTGGGGGAGACATGCACAGTGTTGTGTGCTGTGTGCTGGGGGAGACATGCAAATGTGTTGTGTGCTGGGGGAGGCATGCACGTGTGTTGTGTGTTGTGTGCTGGGGGAGGCGTGCACGTGGGGAGGCCAGCGGACACTTTTTGAACAGGGTCCTCTCCTTGGCCCCCGGTGGGTTCTGGGAACTGAACTTGTCTGAAGAAGAACACGGGTGACTCCTTCACCACTGAGCATCTCCCGGGCAGAAGATTTCACTAAAAAGTGAATAAAAATCATTTTTCTTGCACGACGGTTCCCTAAAAGGTTTGAATTAAGCAGCCACCTTGAGATCACCTTTCTCTGAAGGCGTCTGGGAGATTCACTGCCAAGGCCATGGGGAAGCCCACCCCGAAGCTGACTGGCGGGCGGCTCCTTCTGGTTTTCCTTCCTTCCCTCCACCAGCCTCCCCGTCTACCCCCACCCCAATTTCAATGGCTTGTTTTAAAAACAAAATAAACCAGAGGCGGGGTGGATTTTATGTGGCCCAAGTATTTCTCCCTTATTCACTGTTTTAGAAGGAAGTGAGCATTCAGTCTTGGCTGGAGTTCTGTTTGAAAACAGCATACTCAAGAGATGTCTCTGCAGACATCTTGGAGACTCTCACCCTGCCCGTGTGATTGCTGGACAGACCTGCATTTGTAATTAAACCACTTCCTCTGGTCTCAAAGCTCCTATTCTCATGAAAGGGGTTGAGCACAAAGCAAGCCAAGATGAAGGACTTGGACTTTTGAGCTCTGGGGTCCATTATAAAATGAATGGAGGCAGGCGTTGGTGGCGC